TTAGAAATAAGCATTTAAATAATTAATTAATTAGAAATAGTCGAAATAGTCTGGATAATTACGCGGCTTATTTGTAGTAAATTTTGATTGACTCGTTGTATTGTGTTCTTTGTTGAACAATGTGAATTAGCAGGTGATATTATTGCCTCTAGTTATGGGCAAAATATTAAGTTGTAGGCTTATGGCCAATGTTGGTTTGCTGTTTCGTTGCTATGGAATTTTGTTTTTGTCATTCTGACATTCATATTGTGTCACATACATAGCATATCAAGTTGGAGCTGATGCTCGGTGAGTTGGCATGGATTGGAAAATTAAGTTGAAGGCTCATGCCTTGTTGATTCCTCTATTAATTGAAAGATTTATAAGTTTGGAGTTCTGCTCCGTTTTTACGTTGGGAGTTCTGCTCCGCTAGTACCATATGCATATGCATAGTAACAAGTTGCATTTCACGTTGCATATTTGAGATGGCGAGAGCATGCGTGAAACGAATTCAAAATTGCTTTGTTTATTAAGACCAATGCAATTGTCTCTTGTATCCACACCACAATTGAATATTACTTCAAACAATGTCACCAAATCATATTTCTTGTCTCTTACATTTCAATGTTAATATTTTTACTGATGATAATATTGGAGTGGTCTTTCAAAATACAGATACACAAATTTTAAATATTCATCGAAAAAGTGATTTAGCCCACTTGATGAAAAAAATAGAAGAAACTTTACAACAACATGTAACTTATATTTTTATCGATTTCCAATAGTTAATCCAGTTGATCACAATGTCACATACAACACTGCAAAAATTGAAGACGATGAAGATGTTTGTTCAATGCTTCAATGCCACTCAAGATTTTGCACTCAACAAACAATGAAGTTGTATATTTGTTTTCAACAGGTGCAGGAAGAATATCCAACGCAATCATCACAAACTCATGCGTATCAACTAAGTCAGGCCTTGCTACAAGAAGAGTTTGTCCAAGCACAACATAACGAGCAATTATTTCCCGAAGAGGAAGTTGGTGATGATACTGACTCCGACGATGCCAGAAGAATTAATTTGTTTAGTGGATCCAGTGACGAGTCAGGTGACGATGACAGACAGGAGGCATACCCGACTCCTATACTTGATCTATACAACCCACCGTATCACTTAAGAAATGTTTCATTTGAGTGTGTGGAACCAATTTCAGTCTTTGAACCCTTTGACGAAGGTGAGTCATGTGAAGACTTAAAGGTTGGTACGACGTTTGAAAACAAAGAAGCATATCTCCATACAATATATGAGTATCATATAAAAAATTCTTATACTTTTAAGGTTTTTAAGTCTGATCCGACACGGTATTTGATTAAATGTAAAAAGGAGGGATACAGCTTCACATGTAGAGCTTCGTTAAGGGATGGGTGTGGTCAATGGGTTATTGGCAGAATTGGAGGATCACAAACTTGCATGTCGACTGCTATATCTTAAGATCACCAAAAGCTTACCTAAAAAATGATCGCCCATAAAATCAGACCTCTTGTCAACAGTGACGCGAAAATCAAGGTTAGACATATTATTGTTCATAATCGTACGACTTATGGCTACACTGTATCTTACAAAAAGGCATGGATTGCAAAGAACAAAGCAATAGAATATATTTATGGCAATTGGAAGGCCTCTTACAACAATCTTCCGCATTGGTTGCTAGTCATGCAACAATTTCTTTCAGGTACCGTCATAGATCTTGAAACACTTCCTATATATTCAAATGAAGGAACACAGATAGTTGGTGCAAGAATTTTCCATCGCCTTTTTTGGGCCTTTCAACCTTGTATTAGGGGTTTCGCACATTGCAAACCTATAGTGCAAGTAGATGGTACATGGCTGTATGGAAAATATAGGGGAACATTGCTCCTGGTTGTTGCACAAGATGAGAATGGTAACATTTTCCTAATCGCATATGCATTGGTCGAAGGTGAGACCGGGGGGCATGGTGTTTCTTTCTGAAAAATTTGAGACTCCACGTCACACCCTAGTCAGGCTTATGTTTGATATCTGATTGACATGAGTCCATTAAGAGTGCCTACAATAATTCGAAAAATGGCTGGCAGAATCCACCTTCGGTACATGTGTATTGCATTAGGCACATCGCACAAAACTTCATGCGAGCCATCAAGGACAACAACCTTCGCAAGACAGTTGTTAACATGGATAATTTATTCTCTATTTTTTACATGGCATATATATATATATATATATATATATATATATATATATATATATATATATATATATATATATATATATATATATATATATATATATATATATATATATATATATATATATATATATATATATATATATATATATATATATATATATATATATATATATATATATATATATATATATATATTTCTTTTATATTAATGTTTTTAATGCTTATACGCAGGATATGCATTTAATGAGTCTACATATACATACTATCGAGAGGAGATCTGCCAAACAAACACATAGACTTTCAATTGAATAGAGAACCTTCCAAGATAAAAATGGTCGCGATCTTACGACGGAGGAGCACAGTGGGGTCACATGATAACCAATCTTGCTGAATCTTTGAACTCAGTGTTGAAGGAAACCCACAACCTACCTATTACATCACTTATAAGATCAACATGCTACAGGATGAGAACATTGTGGGGGAAGCGAGGAAAAGATTGGACAAAAAATTTATCATCGGGAAAAAAATTCATAGATAACTGCATGAAAGGAATTGCAGAAGAAGTAGAAAAATCCCACAGTTATAATGTCTTGGCTTTTGACCGTGAAAGTCACTATTTCGTGGTCCAAAAGACGATTAATAATAGGAATTATCGACCACTTACTCATTTCAATGTCAACCTCTAAACACGAACTTGTGACTGTGAGAAATTTCAAACTTTTCATCTGCCTTGCTCACATGCTATCGCGGCTTGTTCTCACATTAACCACGACTATACTAAGTTTATTCCTCATGAATATAGAGTTATATACGTCTTCAAAATTTACATACAAAGTTTCATCGGTGTTTCTTAAGAAGATAGTTGGCCTCCATATTTAGGCGATACTCTTTTGCATGATGAAAGGATGTGACGAAACAAAAAAAATCGCCCAAACAATACTCGCATTAGAACTGAAATGGGCAATGTTGAGAAAATAAAAAGACAATGCGGAATCAGTCAACAACCACACATGCGCAAAAAATATCCGCATCGCCTTAACAATGCAGGTCCTTCTAACTAATTTTATCCATGTATTGTTATTTATAACTACTTTTAATTGTATTTTTTATTTATTAATTTGATTGTGATTGTTAAATTTTATTACTTAATAATAATTTTTATTATTTAATTATAATTATTAATTTATAATTATTTATATTTTTAAATTAATATTTTATTAATTAATTATATAATTAAATAATTTATTAAATTATTTATAATTAATAATAAAATTAAATAATAAAAATAATTATTATGAATAATAGAAAATCAGAAAATAAATTTAGAAAAAATGATCTTCTTTCACGTCATTTCAAATGACGGGGAACCCTTGTGCTGTATAAAGAATCCCATAAAAAATGTGTGGCATGTACGGAAAAAATTCTTAAATTTAAGTGTAAGGTAAAAAATTATTAAACAAAAACAACACCATAAAAAATGAACTAAATCACAAAATTTCAAAAACCAAAACCTAAAGAAATAACTACAGATAAATAAAATTTAAAATCTAGTTACTTTAATCTTTAATATTCTTAAGCAAATGAAAGAGTTTCCAACAAATCAAAATAGGGATAAATAAAAGAGAAAATCTAAAAGAACAAACACTAAATAAAAAACAAAAAGAAAACATAAATTTTAAATTAAAAATGTTAACTTGACCCTTTACATTTGTAGATAAGAAAAAGACTGGATAAATTGTAAATGATAGATAAAAGAGAAAATCTGAAACAAAAAACACTAAACAAACACAAAATTGAAATATACATTTTCAACTAAGAAAGAGAATATTAACTGCACTTGGGTGAAGAAGAAAAAATATTTTTTTTTTGCATATTATTGTTTATATAATGTTAAAACATAATAATAAATGTACTAAAAAAAGTGAAATATAAAATCACTAAAGCTTGAGGATACAATACTTTAGACCGGTTATTGGTTCCAAGTCCAAAATTTAATCAATAGTCTTTTTTAGATCAGAAGAAGAAAAAAATGGAAGACCAAAAAAGAGTTGATGATGTTTTGTTATTGGAGTAAAAAGCTTCAACAAATAAAACTTCTTCAACAAATTGGTGAGACTCACAGCAAGACGAAATACAATTATAATAATGTGTTTGCTCTCTCTTTAAATCCATTTTCAGCTTCAAATTTGTATGTTTACAACAAATTAATTTTTTAGATCTGGATCTAAAATGTAAAGTAAAAACCAATATATAGTTTAAAGATGAGAACAAATAAAAATATGATTAGAATTTGAAATGCAAAAACAAAATAGAGATTTAGAGAGATTTTACCTTGTTTAACAAAGAAAAAGGTATGGATATTTCAGAAAAATACAATGTTTTTAGAGACAAGAACGATGAGGTTAGCAGAAAAAGGTATGGATATTTCACAAAACCACACCCCTAAGAGTTTTGTGAATTGAATTAACTATCTAGCTAATTGAAATGATATTTGTGCATTTAACATCTTTTGAAAAATTATACTAATCATTTGCCACTTGCCATTTGTTGATAAACTTGGTTACACGATATAACACGCGTGTCTTATTCTAACACTCTAATTGTTACGTTAGTGATGATGAGGATTCATTATTCACATATCCATTGTCCCCACATGTGGCAAATCAATTGTCTAAACAAATTTTTTTTTTGTTCTTCATCTTATGTTTTCTTTTCATTTGATCACTATAAATATAATGTCCACAACAACAATCTTCATACTTACCACAAATCTTTTTAACCCAAGTTACAAAGATGAATCTCAAGCCCGTTATCTTCTTGTGCTTCCTCTCTGCACTACTTCTTATAGCTTCTGAAGCAACTCAACAGTCCAAAGATGAAAAACAAGGTACTTGATCTCAACAATAATGATGTAACTTATCTACTTAAGTTTTCTAACAAAGTATAATGATATTAGTATTGTATAAAAGTGTTTCTATATTTGCAGCTACAATAGAGGCATCAAAGACAAAAGTTGGCCTAGATCGTTGGGGATTAGGTGGATCACACGGTGGACATGGCCGTGGATCACACGGTGGGCACCGTGGTGGACACGGTGGTGGACATGGCGGCAGATATGGTGGTGGACATGGCAGTGGAGGTGAGGACACACTGGTGGAGGTGTACGTTATTAGTTTATAATTAAAATCAGAGAATGAGTATATCAATTTTTTTTACTGAATATAGAATTTTCACTATATATCATGAATATTGATGTATATTATCTACTTCTAGTTGATATTAGTAATATCTAAAAAGTGTTTGCGTATCTTCTACAGATAAAATAGAAGAATCCAAAACTAAAGTTGAGGTAGATGTCTGGCGAGCCCCCATCGGAGGTGGACCTGGCGGTCATGGAAGTCCTGGTGGTGGACCTGGTGTTGGACGCAGAGTGCCTGGTGGTCCTGGTGCAGGTTCCAGTGGTTCTGGTGGTGGTGGTGGAGGAGGAGGATCAAAAGGTGGTGGAGGAGGAGGACCAAAAGGTGGTGGAGGAAGTGGTAGAGGGGGAGGAGGATCAAAAGGTGGTGGAGGAGGAGGACCAAAAGGTGGTGGAGGAAGTGGTAGAGGGGGAGGAGGATCAAAAGGTGGTGGAGGAGGAGGACCAAAAGGTGGTGGAGGAAGTGGTAGAGGGGGAGGAGGATCAAAAGGTGGTGGACGAGGAGGAAGTCCATAAAAACAATGAGAAGTGTAAGCATGCATATATATGTAAGCACGCATACGTGTAAATGTAATAACAAGTGTAAAATAAAGCATGGAGTGTATCATACATATGCTACATCGCTAATTTGTCGTAGATGATTGTTCCCTTTTAATGAGACATATAATTATTATTGTTGTTCCCCTTGAATACACCAGACATGGTAGTTCACTCTAAAAACACAAGCAAGGAAGAGAAAGAATAAGAAGCTGTAATTGAATCAGTTACAGCAAAAAAAAAATAGAATGCAACAGTAAGCGGAAGAGGATTAGAAAATATTATTTATTGATTAATTGATTCAAAGAGGTCTATACAAAGATCTTATATATGTATAAGATATATAAGATATTTAAAATAGATCAATACAAAAGTGACATGTGACTAACTATTCTATCTATCTAAACAAACTAGAATAGTATACAAATGTTGATATTCTTTTTCAAGTTGGACTGTATTTTGTAGAGTCTTAACTTGTCTAATATAAAAGACAAAATAGAAAAATGGAGAGGTTTTGTGAACATATCTGCCAGTTGAGCAGATGTAGAAATTGGCAATAAATGAAGAAGTTTAGACTGAATCTTTTCTCGAATAACATGATAATTTATTTCGATATGTTTACTACGTTCATGAAACGTTGGATTGTGAGCTAACTAAATGGCAGACTTGAAATCACAGAAAATTACAGCAGGTTGAGGCAATTTGACTTGGAAGTCCTGCAGAATATATTAAAATCATTGCAGTTCCCAAGATAGAGAGGCTAGTGCATGATATTCTGATTCAGTTGAGGAGCGTGACACAATCTTCTGCTTCTTAGATTTCCAGCATAGAAGAGAGGATCCTAGCATGATACAATACTCTGTGACAGTCCTGCGAGTATCTGGACATCTGGTCCAGTCAGAATCAACAAATGCTGAAATTTTGAGCTGACTAGAAGCAGGATAAAAGAGACCTTTAGCTGGCATTGATTTGAGATACCTAAGAATACGAATGGCAGCTTGGTAATGAGGTGTAAGAGGTTTAGAAACATATTGACTGATGTGTTGCACATCATAGGAGATATCGGGTCTTGAATTAGTGAGGTATATTAACTTGCCAATGAGCCTTCTATAAACAGAAGGATCCTCTAATGGTTGTCCTTCACTAATTGAAAGTTTGACGATCAAAAGGAACTGAAGAGGGTTTAGATGCTAGCAATCCACTGTCTTCAAGAAGCTCCAGAGTATATTTCTTTTGATTAAGGAAAATACCATCAGTGTTTCTAGCTATTTCAAAATCAAGAAAAAATCTCAATTTACCAAGACCCTTTATCTTGAAGGTATGGTGAAGTAGCTGCTTGACTTGTGTGATTTCTGTCATGGATATGCCTGCTAAAACAATGTCACCCACATAAACAAGTAAAGTAGTAAAATCAATATTTAACACTTTGGTATAAAGGGAATGGCCTGCCTGGGATTGTCTGTATCCAATGGAGATAAGAAATGAGGAAAGCTTGGAATACCATTGTCTGCTTGCTTGTTTTAAACCATACAAGGACTTAATTTACAAACATGAGAAGGGTTGGAAGATTGCCGGCTAGGGGGAAGAGTCATATACACTTCTTCATGAAGGTCCCCATGAAGGAATGCATTATTAACATCTAGTTGTTCCAGATGCCATCCTTGGATTGCAGCCAGGGATAAGAGAATCCTGACAGTGGTGAGTTTGGCTACTGGAGAAAAGTGTCAAAATAATCAATTCCTTCTAACTGTGTGTATCTTTTAGCCACTAATCTAGCCTTGTGTCTTTCAATTGATTCATCTGGTATATACTTGACCTTGTAAACCCATATGCATCCAATAGGGTGTTTCTCAGAAGGAAGATCAACAACCTCCCATGTGTTATTCTCAGCAAGAGCCTGTAATTCAATATCCATGGCATGCTTCCAACAATCATGTTTTATGGCTTGGTTGTATGTTTTAGGTTCAATGTTTGAAGAGATGGAGCAACAAAAATGTTTATAAGATGGAGAGAATTTATGGTATGAAATGACAGAAGATAAAGGATGTAATGCACCTGAATGTATTGAATGTTTATCATGTGATGCAAGGTAACAATGATAATATGCTAGATAGCTTGGGGGATGAGAAACACGAGTGGACTTCCTTAAGGGAATACGTGGATCATTTGTTAAGGACTGATCCAAAGAAGAAGGGGAAGCAGGATGATTAGGATGGCTAGCAGGTACATGGGAGGGAAAAAAGGTGTTGGATAATGGTGAAGAGGATTGATTTGATGGAAGTGAGGCTGCAGGTGAAGGGGTGTCAGTAATAGCATAAAGAGACATGGTATTATTTAGAGAACCATTGGTTAAAGGAGATGTGGAGTCATTTCCTTGTTGAGGGTTTGCAGGTCCTCTTTTCTTTTTGATTTCGTTATCCCTGTTTTTTGCCTGAACTGTTTCTTTTGTGATTACAGTCAGCGGGATGCCCCAGTTTTGTAAGTCTCCTTCATAGGTTTTGACTTAATGGGCGTTTATTTTGAGGGATAATGACTGCCTGTCTTTATGATTATTCGGAACCATCACTGTCTTTTGTTTTGTGAGGACCTCTTTGGTGCTATTCGTTGTGCACTTGGATCAACTGAGAGAACTACCCTGCCCCAGGTTATGATTAAGGGTTTTAATTTTCGAAAAGAAAAACTCCTACTTCTTTGGCTCGAAGGGATTGACGAGGGATTATCTTCCTTATAACTCCAGTGTTTATGAATTGAAATAATGCTTGTACCTCATCAGCGGGGTCTGTTCAAAAGCATACTGTAGATTATGGTATCGTTTTCGTCATCCTCCCTTAAGAGGCTTAGAATTATTAATTGAGAGTTGACATCAAAAAATGAAAGCAGTTTGAATATAGCGAATGAGAATATATTGATTCAAAACAGACATATGTGATGCATTGATAAAGTAAAAGAGTTTGACATGAAAAAATGTTTGAACAATCAGAGAAAAATACAACTTGAACATTCGAATGAACAAAAGCTTCTTAGTTTGCACCAGTCATTTCATATGGAAGATTCTCAGCAGAAGATTTTCATTTTCCCTCCCGGCATGAACTCCAGCACCCTTCCGTCGATCAAGTCTTGGATCTTGTTCCTCAGGCTCCAACAGTCGTCAGTGTCATGTGCAGGACTGTCAGAATGGTAGGCACACATTTCATCAGGATTGTACTTTAGGGAGGTTATGTTGAGCTTCTTGGGAGGATCCTTTAAAGCAATCAGCTTGACCTCCAACAAGCGTTTCAGTATTAGTGAGGATGGCACACCAGTCTCCGAGAAATGTCTTCCAGACGTATTTTGCTTACGCCAATTACCCTGTTGACGCTGGTGAGGTTGATGTTGGGCTTGTGACCCTGAAGCAAACTGAGGAGCTTTTCCCTTGTCTTCTTGCCCCACGGGTGGTTGAATGATGGCTTGCTCTTCAACCTTAGATGTTTGCCCCAGTTGGTTATCCCGAAGCAGTTGTTTGACGAGAACCCTGAGCTCTCCTTGTCTTTGAGATAAGTCTTGGATAAGAGCCATTTGCCCCAACATCTGGGTTCTCATTACATCCACCTCAGCTTGCAGATGTTTCAGCCGTTCGTCCTTGTCGTCTTCGGGACTCTTCCTGACCAAATTCCCCATAAGGAGTGTTCTCAGCTCTTCCTGCCCCTTGGATAGATTTAGGAGGATCTCCCTGAACCGAGTCTCTTGAGCATGAAGATCCTAGTTGTTTTGTTGGGAAGCCATTGCTGAAATAAACAGCGAAGATGGTAAGTGACTTGTCAAAGGAGTACCTGTAATGCCGTGATATGTATGTATGCATGCAATATTTTCAAGGATCTCGCGGGGTAAACAAGAAAATTGTTAGAATTTGAATTTTGTAGCTTGATGGAAGGGACTTCATGTTGATGAGAGTCCTTCTTCAAGAGTCAAGGCTCACCATATCGAGTGGGTCATAGCCCCTGACTAAGGTCATTAACTTTGGCCAGAGGAAAATAAATCCCCTTTGCCCCTTGCTAGACAGTTGGTTCATCATGACCTGCATCACAGACCCTTGAGATCCTTGAAATAGATTAGTCCTTATGTAGGATGTATGTAATGGTATGATGTTATGCTATGCATGGAGTAATGTAGGTAAACCCTGTTATGAGTCCAGATTAAGGACTGTAAACAAAACCGGCAAGAAACCCATGTGTCAGATAACAAGAACATGCAAGTAGTCAAGTTTGAAGGCACACAAGTCACACCAGAAAGCCCTTAGAGTTTGGGCCAGCATGAAGTTTGGGGTACTACCCTTTTGAAGTTGGTGGGCTCAAAACCTGTCCTATCAAAAGTAACCGGGTTCTAAGGAGCTCAAAATCATTGGGTTGTTTTCTGTGTTCATTGTTTTGATTTAGCCATTGAACTGGCGATCAAAATATTCCAATAAAACAACCCTCAATGAGTGTAGTATCAAGTATCAACCAACTTCGGACTGCACCAAAGTGAGTCATCTCACTACTCCTAAAGAGGCCAGGATGGTTCAATTAAGGTTCCTAAGGTCAATTGATGCTTCACGACACCACGCGGCGGCCCCGTACTCTCCTTGACTTAACTCAAGGGTTACCGGTACTCACCAAAGTGTCACATCAACGTAGCAAACTGCTTCAACCATGTCGGTATACCCCACACAGTTCCCTCACAGTTTGTTGCTACTTTCTAAAAGGTATCCCCCAGATCCGGGTTAGGATCTATGAAACTCCCAAAACAGGCCCACAATATTAAATCAAGCAAAGCAAGCAATTGAAAACATGATGATTAACTATTCCTAAGGTACACTTCACTTTATTAATTCCCCAGCAGAGTCGCCAGTTCTGTGATCGGTGGAAATAGAACTGACTGTTTTTTAAGCTGGTTCGCGTATGTCGCGGTAAAGCAAGAGTCGCCACCGTCTTTTATGTTCTCCAACATGGAAAGGACAAAAG